CGCGCGCCACGAGCCGATTCGCCCACGCGTGAGCCTCCCTCCAAGAGGCTGCAACAAACGCGGCTTAGAAAGCATCGCTGTTAGATATGCTTGCTCTACGATCGTAGTAGAGTAAAGATTCCTCATTTCGCTCGCTTAGCTGGCGCGAAGTTCCGCCGAGGTGTTCCCTTCGCAACGCGTCACGGTCCTGCTTTCTCCACTACTCTTTGACGTTACTCTTCTTCACGGCATCATCACCAAACTTCAGCAAAATCGTTATATCCAGTCGCAGATTCTCTCCACCATGGACGACCTTCCCAACGAATTGCTCATCCACATCGTTGACCAACTGAGAGGCCCTACAACCTGGGCAGAACCAGCCGACTACAGCCGCACGCACGCCCTTGCGGCTCTTTGTTGCGTTTCCAAGAAGTTGTACCATATTACCAGACCGTTGCTCTACGAATCGATAGACCTGCCCCCGAATGACGGTGTTCTGCCCCAGTCTCGAAGACTTTTTGCTCGTCTCCAAGACCAGCCAAGCCTTCGCCTCGAGATCAAAGCCCTTCGACAGAAGACGCCTGCTAGGCTGAGACGGGACGGCGAGCGCCGTATGCGCGTCCGCGATGAGTACATGAAAGACACTACAAGAGACGTGAGAGCCTTTGGGCTAGGCACGGAAGACGCCTCAGCACTCGTGAGCCGTTGGCTAGAGTACGAAGACCTATACTTCGCTCTAGTGGCATTTCGGACACCGAACTTGGAGCGTTTATGGGCACGGTCGGCCCTTGAATACCAAGGGCTCTATGACGATTGCAACAATACCCTTCTCGAGGGCATAGGCCGTATGGCTATGGGCCTAAGTCGGCTTCACACTCACCGATTTGACAATCTCAAGATTTTGTATTTCGATTTCTCTCAAACACCGCAAACGCCCGCGCGGTATGCGTTCCCGTTTTTACTTCTTCCCAGCTTGGATGAGCTTACTCTTGTCGCGTTGGGCGGCTATTTCGACATGGCTGAGAATGAAACTGAAGTCGAATTCGAATACAATGACGCCGACGGCTTGATCATTTTCGGCCGCCCTTGGTTGTGGCCACTACGCTCATCGCCTATCACCAAGCTCTCGCTATTCAAACCAGTCATCTCCGAGAATGCGGTCAAGAATATGATAACGTCGTGTAAAGCTCTAGAGCGATTTGAATGCTTTCACCCAATGCGTTCCAGCACGCTCGATCAGTGGTTTGGGGGTCTCATTCCTGCGCTGAACAACCACATCGAGAGTCTTCAAAACTTGTCGTTATTGTGTAGGCAACATCGGTCCTCATTGGAGCACACTGGCATGGCTCAGCTCGATTCTATTCATGAGTTCACCAATTTAAACTCGGTCAGAGTCTCTTTGTATCTGGTGTCTGATCCGGGGGATACTCTGAATGCTCGAAGTCTGCCTGCTTTCTTACCGCCAAGCATCACATCACTGCACATCCACTATCCCCGTGAGCCAAACGACGAAGCCGATCAACAACTTCTCGATGTTCTCAGCGCACACAAGGACGGTACCTTAGCGTCGTTGAAAGATGTATACATCACATGGGTATACTACCATCGCGGAGAGGAAGAATTTGATCTGCTAGAACGACTTCAGTCGCTGGTACAGATCAAAGCACAATACGAGACGTCATCCATCACGTTTGACATTATGTTGACAATCAGAGACGACAAAGGTAAATGGTCGTTGGTCAGGGGATCGTCAATCAGTGCTAACGTCTACTAGGGATCAGACGCAATTGGCCTAAGCTGACCAATCTAGGACTGGTCATGAATGGGACGCACCTGAGCACGGATCCGTACTATAAATCTCACCCGGAAAGTGTCTTTGTCGATTTTACGACGTCTCCTGCGCGCTACACGGTGCAGGAACTACAAGATGATCGAGATCATTTGTCTTTCTGGTGAACGCGCGATTTGTATACGAGGGGCCCCGAGGTATACTTAACACTCTTATCAGCTTCGTTCCTCGTTCTTGAAACATGCCTTCCTGGCCCGACATGAACCGGCTCACGATCACGATAGTTCCAATCCGTCGGTCTCCTGGAGTCGAGGTCCAGTGTCGCGCGTACAGACGTCGATTGCGCAAATGTCGCCATCGTCCATATCTATCAATATATCTTGGCCTTATCCTCGGCTTCTTAATGACTGTGCGATATCAAGACAGCCTCTTCAGCGATTTCGAGTCTGCGAATATGTGCGGATATGGAGCTTCCAGCGCTTCTTACAGCCACTTCTCGCCATCCTTCCTCCCCTCCTCTTATTACAATACGACATCGAGAGACTGGGCCACCGAAGCCTCATCCCGGCTAATGGCAGAAGCATCAGCGTCAACTGCGTGTGATACGCTACTTGACATCGCATTCATTATGCTAAAAGCTTCGGCACCGGGTATGGCGCCTTATTGCCTCTCTCATCACGAAAACATATTTATAGTTCCTGGTAGCTCCAGGCGCTGCAGCCACGGGCCACACGGTCGGTGGAAGACCCGCTTTCAAGATGCCAGCTATGCCGATCGGATGCACTGAAGTCAATATGGCGTTGATCGCTTGACAAGGACGAATATGCTTGTTACCCTTGTGGTAACAAAGCACGTGCCGCCTGCACCAAGTTATTTTGAAGAGCAGGAGTCCACCAGATTTATCGCCGTACTTCTAGTGCCCGGTCTTGCATATGTCGAACAAGTGTCTAACAGCAGTCATTCATCAAAACGGCTTGAAAATTCGGCTCACTGCGTGTGGCGTCATGGTATACCTTCTCAGTATCGCCGGATGCGTCCATGCTACCTAGTGACAGTCGCTCCCTCAGCCTGGTACCTGCCATAGATGGGCTAGCGCTGACCGTGGACTGGAATACCAAGAACATGATCTGACTAGTCAGCTATTCCCGGCACATCGGTCTGAGTTCATGTTGCGGCTCACAAGGCTGAGGCCGCAATCGCTAGCAATGCTACTCCGCTTAAGCTAGTCTGCCGCGAATGATGCTATACGCTAGAGCACCCTGTCAGGCTAAATGCTGGGTGTAGCATAGATACGAAGCACTTTGCTCTATTCAGTTCTACTCCCTGAACTGAATGGGGGCGGTGTCAGCAATTCTTCCTTGGCGCAAAAAGCACCGCACAGCAAGGCTGAAAATCGAGGTATTCCGACCCGCCGCAGCATCCAACGCCAATGGCTTCAGACTCATCAAAGATGGACGGAATTCCTGTTGAGGAAGCTTCTCAGACTATACAAGCTGTCGGCCAGATCACATCAGCCACTTCAAGCACTCTAGAAGGACCGACTTCAAATGGACTCCAGATACTCATGGCATACAACATCAGGCGAGAATATGCACTTGGCACCTGTGCATAATGACTCGGCCCCAAAGCCACGGCGTCGGAGTCAACATGAGCTTTGATCATCTCTACAATTCCGGCGATGTCTCTCCATCACACCATCAGCACGCTATGCTGTGTGATATTGGGGGCCAGCTTCGTTGATTGGCAAAGATGCATGCACAGTGCCTCTTGATGGCCGCAAGAGGCTCGAGTAAACCTCACATTCGCTTTCCCTGGCTCTGTCATGGATATCCGGTCGGCAAATCTTACCCCCATGGGACTGCCTTAACATACTCACCCTTAAAGTCAGGCTGAACAAACATACATAAGTAGAGCATGGTGCTCGCAACGATGGAGCGGAATCCAGCCTGAGACTATTCTTGCTTCCTGAAATCTATCGACATCAGCTAGATTTTCCCAGTCAAGTTCACCCCAAAGCCTACACTCCATTTCTCCTGAAATTGAAACCCTCTCGCCTTCTCTACTATGTCTTCATTCACCCTCCAGAAAGTCCTGCTATCCCTCCTGCTCCTAGCAAACGTTGCCATCGCCGTCCGCTTCAGTTTCACCATCCAGGAAGTACACGTCGGGGTCACCCGTGACTTGCAAGAAGACGACCTGCTTCTCGCCATCGCCTCAACAACAGGCAGCAACACCATCAAGAACTCCTGGCTCGTGGGCGAGGTCGAAGCCGATGCTATCGTTGCGGCAAACGATACCGTCAAGTACACGCAGGAGATGGATGTTCCCGATTCTGCTTCGAACCTGTCCGTTGCAATTGGTGGTTTGAATACCGATGATGAAGACGAGGAGTTGGCTTTCAGTAAGCAGTTCATCAATGCATGGTCTAGGTGTCACTACTAATGCGTCACTAGATTTCGTGGAAGGAATAGCCGCCGTCGCTGCCGCACTCCCCGGACCGCAAGCCCTCCCGGCTAAACTCCTCAGCATCGTGCTCGGCGCTATTGGAAACCCCTTGAACTGCACTGGTCCAGTCATAGTCGGCAACGCCTTGTATACCAAAGACCAGATGGACGAGCTCGAGCAGAACAAGCCCACATGCGAGACAAAGGAGTACGGATACGACACTCCATTCGCTTGTGCACCTACCGGTCAAAACTCGAGCTACAGTGTTACTTACTGCCTTGAGCGACTGGATGCCAAGTCTGCGGCAGCTGCGAGCTCACCGAGTCTGGCTGCTCTGGTAATGAGCCTTGCGGTTGCCGTCATCTACAGCGGCTTATGAACGGTGATTCGGGGATTGGGATCAAATGGTACACAAGTAAGCTTGCTGAGCTGGGTGTAAGCTCATTGCGGGTTGTAGCGTTTCACTTCAGGACTGGGGAGATTTCAACAGGCGAAAAGCTACTTGGGAGGTTCACGCTTCCGTATCTTGGTTCCTTAGTTCCCCTTTGTAGACAACAATTGGCCCTATGGTTCGCGAGAGATGTACTGTCGCTATAGCAAAATATTAGAACTCTTTTTTGTCGAACAGGTCGCAGAAATACCAAATCAAGTAGCTATTCAGCAGTCGGGGTGACAGAAGTCTCCTAAACTCAGGTAGCGAGGGTGGAATCATTTCTAGCGAGAAAAGCCAGGGTATCAATTTTACTATCTATGCATTATAAGCACATTACTCCAGGCCCTTAAAAACTTAAGCATCAATCTCTGCCCTCAGGTTACCCCGTCCACGAGCGATCGCATCACCCAGGTCCATGTTTGAGGCTTGCCCCCGCACGCTCGAAATGAACCGGCGTCCTCCATCCATGTTCTTCTTGTGCTTCTCTTCCTCCTCTGCATCCTTAATTTCTTGTAGTCGAACACGCTCAGCACGCTGCTCCTCTAGCGATGTCGCCTCTGCTTGCATTGCAGCTAGGCGGTCAGCAGCGCTCTGACGGGCTTCCGTATCATCGGCTTTGCTTTCGACTTGTTTTTCGACTTGTCTTCTCGGTGGTGTACGGTCCCGTCGTCGGTATGTGTCGCGGTCGCGAAGATCGCCACGATCCTCCCTCCTGCGTGGTGAACGAGTGCGGTCTCGTCGGCTACTGTGTTTGCGGTATGGTGATCGTGAGCGGGATCTCGACCGTCTACGATGGCTGTCGCGATCGCGGCGATCTTCGCGGTCTTCCCTCCTGCGTGGCGACCGTGACCGATGGCGTCGGCTGCTGTGCTTGTGTTCGCGATCCCGGCTCCGCTCCCTGTCCCGGTTTTTGTGTTTCTTCTCCCGCTCCTTCTCTTTTTCGCGTTTTTCGGCGTATTTAGCCTCTTTCTGCGCGTCCTTCATAGCCTTCAGCTGCATCTCCATCTTCTGTTTTTGAATCATGAGGAGCGGGTCCTGGAGGACTTTCTTCTGTGTGTCGCGAGCAGTGTTCGCATTCGTGTCGGCCGTGGCAGCGTCGATGCCGACTGCAGCGCCCTTCTGAAGGCTTTGGGTATCGTTTGACTTCAGCAGGTTGTCAATCCTGCGTTTGCCTAGGAGATAGCCCTCGCGCTCCTCTGTGACTCCGGCATCGCCGCTCGGGCCTGAATACATCCAGTCAACCCTTCGCTGTACGACCTTGCCGCCATTCTCAGCTTGCAGTCTCTGCAGCTGCTCGATCGCCGCTTCTTCTTCGCGTTCCTTGCGCAACTTCTCGATCAATTTGCGCTCCTCGAGCGCAGACTTCTCCTCCTTCCACACTCTCTCCTGGTTCTTGCGCAGGTGGGGATGCCACGACTTCTTCAAATTGAGATCTCCTCCCATGGCTGCGAGAGTTGTGGTGTGTGTGCAGGTAGGTGAAGTTTGTTGGTGGGATTGCGAGCAAGGTGTGATGCGCGGGTAGGTGAGTTCGTTGGTGGGTGTGGTGGGTGTGGATGTGAAAAGGTGATGGAGGCTGGCAGATGAGTTGCGCGACAAATTGCCAAGGCGCTAGGTCAGGCCCCACCCAAAAGTTGACCTCCGCGACTTCTCCGCAAAAGTTTCGAGCGAACGAATGCGCCCGTATACAGCCCGAATATCCACGTCGCGACAGGCGTTTCCCAACCGAAAGACGATTCCGTACTCTAATAAGAGTCTATCATATCGCGATCCACAAAAGAGTCACTTTCCGCGCAGCAATGGCGACGCGCAAACGAAACGAGTACCTCGACGTTGAGGAAAGCGAAGACGAGGAGAGAGGCTATGACTCCGAGGAGGAGAGCAGAGCGCGCATGCTACCCACGTCAAAGCGGCAAAAAATAGACCACGTCTCCGACTCCGAGGGCGATGCGGAGGAACTGGAAGATGACGAAGAACAAGCCTTCGACGAAGAAGATGCTGAAGAAGGAGACGACGACGAACAACACGCACCGAAGCGCTTCGCCTCCAAGAGCGCCGAACTAGCACATCTCGAGAAACTTGCTGCATCCCTCCCCTCGGAAATGAGGTTACAAACCACAAAACTCGGAAAGGCTCTGCCACCCTCATCACTCAAGAAAGACAAGTCCGGCGTTATATACCTCTCTCGCGTCCCGCCCTTCATGAAGCCAGCCGTAATGCGCTCCCTCTTAACACCCTACGGCGCCGTAGGTCGCATATTCCTTACACCCGAAGACAGCACTTCCCGCACCCAGCGCCTGCGCAACGGAGGCACGCGTCGCAAGCTCTTCCTCGACGGCTGGGTCGAATTCCTTCACAAACGCGACGCCAAGTTCGTGGCCGAGAACCTAAATGCGCAAACGATGGGCGGAAAGAAGAGGGGCAGGTGGCACGACGAAGTTTGGAATATCCGGTACTTGAGCGGCGTCAAGTGGCACAACCTGGTCGAGCAGATCCAGAACGAGAACGCAGAGCGTGCGGCAAGACTCAGATTTGAGATTTCGCAGGGCAAGAAGGAGAACAAGGCGTTCTTGGAGAACGTGGAGAGAGGCAAGATGGCTAGTGGTATTGAGGCTACAAGGCGGAAGAGAGGAGAAGATGTCGATGGTGATAATGCGGCGACTGAGGCAGCAGCAGCGGTACAGGAAGTAGATGGGAAGCCAAAGAGGCGGAAGGGAAGGCTCGAGTTCTCGCAGCATACGGCTACGAGCAAGGCAATGAAGAAGCCCGAGCCGGGTCAGGATGTGAATAGGGTGTTGAGTAGTATGATGTAGAGCGTTGCGCATGATATCCAAGAACACGAGTATATTTCAGACTTGAGCCAATGTCCTCAGCCATATCTATGATGAAAGTGTGTGCCATAACGTAATAGTAATAACGCCAAATCCCTAATGCCTTTTTGAATCAAATAACGCCGGCCCTTGGGAGCACAATGCCAGGGTATAAGTACAGTACCATTTTCTCGCCCCGTTTATATCGCCGTGCCTCGCTCGAAGCTGTCCCGTATTTCGCTTGTGTATTTGTTGTAGAAGCGCGAAAGCTTGTCGTTGAACTGCTTGTTCTTCTGGTTGATGTACGTGACATCGCCCATATCTTCGGAGTCGCGTATGCCCCTCGCAGCCCTGGCCTTCAACCTGGCGCGCTCGCCCTTCTCCAAGTCTTCTACTAGCCTATCTACGGCTTCCTTCGATGGCTTGTGGTCGTGACTGTACGCTTCGTCGACTGGCGTGTTTATGCGCCCTTGATTGTCGACAGTGTAGATTTCCCCGGCATCCGTTTCAACGAGTTGCAGAAGTCCGGAGGATACTTGCGACTGCAGTTTCCTTGCCTTCTCCTCGGCATACGCCTCCAGATCGACCTTGCTCATCTGACCAATCTGCCTCTTGTACACCTTGTTCGCCTCATTCCTGTAGTCGGCAAACGCGACTCCCTCCCTGTTCTTCGACTTCTTCTTCAGCCGCTTGTCCCAGCTCTCGCTCTCTTCAACTGTGTAGTCCCAATTCCTCTTGCGCTCGAAATCAGGGTCTTCGGATTTGAGAAGCTTGTACGAGGCTTTCTCGTTGAGGGCGCCAAGTTTAGAGATCTGCGCGAGGCGAGAACTGCGGTCTTCGGCGTCGCGAACCTCGCGCTCTGTCTCTTTACGCCCGTTTACTTTGGCTGCTTGGAGCGCTTTGAAGCGGGCCATTCGCGCAGCGAGGGCAGCTTTCGGGTCGGGGTTTGTAGTTGCACTGAGAGAGCTATCTTGCGTCGACGCAGCTTCGTGGACTGTGATCGCATCTTGCGCTGCCGCTCCATTCGCGCTCATGGTGTCTGATGCTTCGGCCTTTTCGACTTTCGGCGGTACGGATACGGTAGTAACCTCCTCTTCGACGTTTTGAGGGGCTTCGGGTGCGGGCGCTACTTCGTCTACTTTTGCTAGGTCGGCCATGGTGGGTTGTTGTTGCTGTGAGGGCAGTCGCTCCTCCGCGAAATGTTGGATTGACGACTGCCAAGACACTAGCGTGGCTTGCATGCGACAGCCTCGACCCTGGATGAGGCCTCATCACTCCTCAACATCACGACGGCTAAGCACCAGTTCTGCAAGGTCGGTAACACACTAGATGTATCGATACACAACTATGGACATGCTCGATGGCCTGTCTATCGTCTTCCGGCGCGATCCAACATGCATTCCCGCGTTCCGCCTAGCTTCCCGGTCACGTACCACGTATAAAGGATCGGTGAGGCGCCGACGTGCAACAACATGACGATCTCGTATCGAGTAGGAACATCTTGATCATTGACCCCAGCGATTTTCAGATGCAGCAACGCAACTGATTCTGGGGCCATGCCCTGTGTAATGTTCAGAAAGAGATAGTTCCCAGGGAAATCGTACATGGGTACCGGCATTGAGTAAACATTGTGGGGGTGTTACCGCTCAAGATATGGCTCAATCTCTCGAGGTCGCTTCTCGGAGATTTATATATGAGAGCTATAGTACTTTACGGAGGTAAGCACCGGGTAATTCCACCACTCACAGCGACATTGCTGCTCGATCTTACCCTGATGGCGGGGAGCAGCTCACAGATGATCTTCGTATGCTGGATGAACAGGAAGCTTAATCTTGAAGCCATTGTGGGGCTGCTAACTAATATCATCCCTGCGGCGTTCCCTTTAACATGGATAAAGGCTAAATGGAGACGATGCTTATACAAAAGCTTCACCTACTGCGATTCATGGCATGTCAGTCGTTTGCGAAGCTCCCTAGGTGTATCTCAAGGGACCAAATTACCTCAGACTCCAGTCATGGCGCTCTCCAGCTATCTCGTCCTGGCGCTGACGACCTTCGCGAGTGCACACGCATCCCTACAACCCCGACAATCCTCCACTGTCACCGTCGACTTGACCAAAACCTACCAGACCATAGATGGCTTCGGCATATCGGAGACCTTTCAACGCGCGAACCAGATGCATGCCCTCTCGCCCTCACTCCAACGCTACGCCCTTGACCTGCTCTTTAACCGCACATCCGGTGCTGGTTTCTCTATCTTGAGAAATGGCATCGGTTCATCTCCGGATTCGAGCAGCGATCACATGGTTTCCATTCAACCCACAAATCCCGGTGGTCCGAATGCGACACCGAAATATGTGTTTGACGGCAATGACAACAGCCAAGTCTGGGTTAGCACCGAAGCAGTGAAGACGTATGGCTTGCGCACTGTATATGCAAATGCGTGGTCGGCACCAGGATACATGAAAACGAACAACAACGATGCAAATGGGGGATCTCTTTGTGGGGTTTCTGGCGCCACTTGTTCGAGTGGAGATTGGAAACAAGCGTACGCCAACTATTTGGTCCAGTACATCACTTACTACAGAAATATCGGGGTTGATATCACGCATCTGGGATTCTTGAATGAACCAGATCTTACGACAAGCTATGCCAGCATGAGGAGCAATGGGCAGCAAGCCGCGGGCTTCATCAAAGTATTGCGACCAACACTCGACAGAGCGAACTTTACAAGCGTAAAGGTTACGTGCTGTGACGCCGAGGGATGGAGTAGTCAGCAGAGTATGATGAGTGCACTGAATAGCGTAAGTAGCCTGTTGGGTACGATCACCGCACAGTAAGTCCTCCACCCAAGCACCGAAACCGCACACTGACCATCATCTAGTTCCTACACATCCCAGCCCAACAGTCCCATAAACACCCCCCACCACGTCTGGCAAACCGAAAACGCCGACCTCCAAGGCGCATGGACAACAGTCTTCTACACAAACAACGGCGCAGGCGAAGGCCTAAACTGGGCAACCAAAATCCACACTGCGCTCACCACCGCCAACGCCTCTGCATATCTATACTGGATCGGCGTCCAAGGTGGCGCAACAAACAGCAAGCTGATCCGTATCTCCGATGACAAAACAGCAGTCATACCGAGTAAACGTCTCTGGGCCTTCGCGAACTGGAGTAGACATGTGCGACCGGGTGCTGTGAGGGTGGGTGCGAGCGGCGGGCCGAGTGGGAGTCGGGTTAGTGCGTTTAGGAACGTGGATGGGAGTTTGGCGGTGCAGGTCATACAGGGAGGGACTGTGGCGGGTGCGGTTACGGTTCAGGTAAGTGGTTTTGTTGCTAAGATGGCGAAGGCGTGGATCACGGATAATGGGCATGATTGCGATGAGATTGCGGCTACACTGACGGCGGATGGGGATAGTGTTAGTGCGCAGGTGCCCGGGAGGAGTATGGTGACTTTTGTACTTAACCCCGCGGCTTAGTCGAGGGGTTATGCGATAGCATGGGGATGGCTGTGAAGGTGCGTCTCAAGACTGAATCTGACGAGAAGTTAATGAGGTTCATCATACTTCCGTAGATGGTTGATTTCACGTCTCTCTCAACGAAAGGAGTGGGCACAGATAATTCGCTACAAGCC